TCAAACTTAGGATCATCAGAGATCCAGCTAAGGCATAACATTCACAGGTGATTTGATCAATCTGTAATCCACAAAGTTGCAGTGTCCTCAATTTTAGGATTACTTTACGTTTACTTCATTACGCTTTAGCCAAGAGTAAGGCACTCAGTCTTAGTAAAATCAATACATTCATTTTAGTCAAGTACATTGTTCAAATCTGAAAAGGAAAAGTTAGGCAAATATTCAAAGACTTTTGTAAAAACCTGGAAAGGAAAGATTAAACACTCTTAAAACTTTAATTAATACATTTGTAAATGCTACAACTGATCTGTACCAAATTAAGTCTATCAATTATTCTTATTAGCCATACTTACCTGATCATCTACTTATGGAAAGGGTTCTTCTGTGTTTATCTAATGTTGAATATAGAATATCAATTTCTTTAAATTATACTTCTCTAATTTGAGGATCAAATATGCTACATAATTGTTATATGAATTATTATAAATATTTGTTTTGGGCCAAAACTGAAATTAATCCAGTACTTGAAACATCATTTTAGGTCTGTCTGTTCATGGACAATACATTAAAGAGTAGTGTTGTTAAGCCTGAGTGCTGGATGATTAAGGATATTAACATTATCTGTTATAATATTAGAAATACCTTATAATCTGAGAATATTTATTTATTTATTTTGTTTAGTGTGAAAGTGTAATCTGATCTGACAAAATATATTTATCACCACTATTTAACACATGTCTGGTCATTGGAAATATAAAAAACAATCATTAATTGTACATCTTTAAACATCTGGTCATTCAATTCAAAGTTCATCTTTGTACGAGAGCTGGAAGAACATGTCCGTCAGTCTTCCTGACTCGTTCTCCTCCTCCCTTTATGACACCGAGTGTCTGGTGTGTAAAGGCATCCTGATACTGTAGATTAGCACTGAGGTGCTGATTGGCTCAAACTCTTCTTCATCAGAGCGCCATATTTCAACCCCCCAATTGCTCTGCTTTTGTGTGGCTCATTCAGTGAGCACTGTAGCTGACCCCCCAGTGAGACGGAGGCTCATCTGCCTGTATTCCTTCTGCTATCTGCTTGAGTACAACTGCGTATTCCTGATGCATCCAGGTGTCCCCCCCGTGATGGGAGAGGTTAGGAAGACATCAAACTCCTCCAAGAAACATGGAACCTTGTATTATAGAAACCTCTGAAGCCCTCACTCGTCCTGCAGGGTTGTCTGCTAGAGCCCACCGAGCAGAAAGATGAAGAGAAGAACCCCCTCTCAGCAGAAAGGTGAAGAGAAGCATCCCATCTCGAACGGCCTCGTGCTTCCTTGCACGTGGCTGGGGGTGCTCTCTGCACCCGGAGAGTGTGACCCTCTCTCTCTGACCCTTGGCCTTGAGAGCTGTCCTAGTTATTGGGTTAACACTTGATAGGGATGGTTTTCTGAGTGAAGACAACTCAAAGTAATGGATTAGCACATTATCATTTAATTACAAAAATAGGCCCCTCAGAATTATTTGGGAGCCTTCCTGACACATGCACATTATCATTTTGAAGGTTTGTGTTAGTCATTGAACATGCAAGAATCATATACTCATCAGTCCATAGCAGAGACATGTTATTGTAAGTTAAAGGTGAGCTTGTCCCTGTGGATATAACCCCTTCTCAATGATTCTAAATGTATATTAATTCACCATTTACCTTTTGATCAAATATTAGTTTTTCAGAAATATTTTGTCTCTTCCATAAAATATAGGTTTGAGAAATAAATTACTCAATATAATTGACTCTTCCTTCCCTTTTCTTACATATGGTACATATGAAATAATAACTTAGGAGTCTATTTAAGCATGGTATAGTTTATAATCTATTAATCGAGAAGACTCAGTATCACCTGTGTGCAGCTTACAAAAACCCATTGTGATAAACATATATTATGCAGGAAATTGATACATTTGTTGAAAAACAAAGCATATCTGATCTGGGAGGAAAAGCTTCATCCCTTTAACATCTGAGTTATTACTGAAGGCATAGCATGAATGATATTGGGTGTCTGAGGGTGTCATTACTGAGAAATGTCAAACAAAATCAAAACCTTACATTTGAAAACAGGTTTGCATTCCTCCACTGAAGGTGACGTTATCATTGGAAACAATAAAAGCTAATTGTTTTGATGTAGAATCTATACATTGAATCGTTAGAGCAGAACAGAATGGTTGTATTGTAGCCTGAGTTTTGTGCAGCCTTTAGTTTTACCAGCTGGAAACATTGTCTATATAATGTGAATACATGTAGAACTAGACATTAAGAGACCCCTGACATTAGGCCTATTTGAAACAATAGTAGGGGCTTTTACCAGCTCGCCAACTTACAGGCATCCTCTGCATAGCAGTATGAATAGCCTTAAACACAACCCACTCTGCGGTAACGAGAGTCATGTATCCGAACCACATGCCCTAAGTGAAGCCGTTAGTCTCATCTGACTGACCCAAGGGTTGGTGCTGGTGTGACAGGGAGGCTTCCAAGTGTTCATAGCAGATGTCATGCTTTCAGTTCATGGCTCAGTGGGGGGGAGCAGACCCATGTGAGACAGTATCAACGGCTGTAATGTTCAGTTTGAGGAGTGTCATTCTCTCTGGGAGCAGGAAATGGTGTCCATTCAGACCAGACCATTAATGTCATGTAGAGCAGCCATAGCATCTCTGTGACTGCACTCAGCCGGACTGCAGCAGGGCAGAACACTAAACAGCTGGGAACACTGAGCCACCTGCGTCCGACACTCATGGCCTCAAGGATTTCACATCCTAGAGTCCACAAACACCGATAAAGAAGTGCCTCAGCGTTCTCACAACAATTACCCTTCGTGCCAGACAAGTTGACCGGTCACAAACTGATGACAACAACACATATGACACCAAGGCCTTTCCTTAAAGGAGATAACAGACGTCAGAGTAGATCATAAAACGTCACAGAGCAAAAGGTTAGATATCTAGAAGAATTATTCCTTAACAGGTTGCAAGATGTATAATAAATGTCCCATTAACTTTCATGTTAGGTGGCTCACAGTTGGCTTAAATCCGCAATAAAACTCTTACCTCATTATAGAAAGGAATAACAACTGTTAAAAAGTACAATTTACAAAACCTGTGTCCATAATGCATGCAGGGAGAACTCAACTACAACTCCCAAGATGCATTTCCATTTGCAGAGCTTAAAATGTATGCTACACATGCTAACAGCAGCGGAAGCTAAAAATAACGTTAGTGATGTTTGTTGAAATCATTTTAAACACAGTTTTACTTTTTGACTTTTATAATGGTGTTGCTATTGGATTGTCTGGCTTTATGGGTATTGTAGTTTAATGAGCTATGCCAAACTGACATGCAAAACTTACTCCTAAATTAGGTTAAAAATAATTACAGGTAATTACCATAGCATAAGCGTATAAGGTTGTAAAATGTACAGAGAGTTTTAAAATGGGAATACTTCTTTCTCCCACTTTGCAACTAGCTCCGACTCTCCGACCTCACTCCTGCTCTCTAGGATGAATTGGATTAAATTGGAAAGCTTTCCAAGAAAAGTGGAGGCTTAAAAAGATCCATAATTTCCAATGTTCAATAATCCTATATGGGTGTGACTTTAGTGTTTCCACATCCTTTTGGTCATGTAAGGAACCACTCATCTCCCTGTTATATTTGAACGTCTTCTGCTCTGACATCGTCCAGTGCTGCTGAGCCATATGTTGCACGCTAATCCACTGCACATGTGTGTATATGTGTGTGTGTGTGCGTAAGTGCATTTACGTTATGGCTTATTGCATTAAAGTTATGGCAGGGTTCGCCTGAGGTCAGTGTGTGAAAAGCTGATTTCCTCCGTAGACTCTGTGGTTGATTGGTCAGTCTGCTCTCTTCTCTCTTTTTGCTCACATGATCATCAGGTCAGCTGGTGTGTGATTTGTTGTGGTGTTTCTTCCCCTCTATCTTTGCAATATTTCCCCCTCCCCCTGCTCTCCCATCTCACCCACAGCACTCTCAATATCCAACCAAGTCATTCAGGAGGAAAATGTTAGGGAGACGTGTGTACAAGGGAAACTATGCAATAGAAAATCAGAAAAACCCAACTCAAATAAGGCAGATGCTATTTGCACCCGGGTGTTTGTAGCTAACAATGCTATTTGCACACAGATGTACGTACTAGCTATCAATGCTATTTGCACCTGTGTGTCTGATGTAAACAATGCTATTTGCACACATATGTGCATACTAGCTATCAATGCTATTTGCACACAGATGTGCATACTAGCTATCAATGTTATTGCACACAGCTGTATGTAGCTATCAATGCTATTTGCCCCCGGATGTCTGTAGCTTATGATGCTACTTGCACCCTGGCGTCGTTAGTGTACTATTCCATTTGCATCCGGGTGTTCGTTGTAAACAATGCAAACATTGTTAGCTGTACAAGCTAACAATGCTCTTTGCACCCGGGTGTCTAATGGTACTAATAGCATGGTACAAATAGCATACATGTAGTAAACTATGCTATTTGTTAAAGAGTCAATGTGGCTATTTACACCTGGGCATAGTGTATATAATAGGATGGCAACACATGCACTGATGCAACTATTGATGGTACCACAGAAACAGGATTGGCTTTTATACAAAAATCCAATGTTGATCTTCATCTTTCTCGTAAGATTTTCAAAGTAATCCCCTTCATCCAGCTTCTCTATCTTAAAGTAAACAAAGAAATGAATAAAAGCTTCTTTAAAGAAAGGTGTGGCACTGAGGCAAACATTGTTAACCCCTTATACTTCTTAGCAGCTTTACCGTGGAAACACCACTCACAGAATTAAGACTAAAGAAAGGAGTTACACCTCTCCAACAGTTGCACATATTTCACATTTAAAACAAACATGAAAACCATGCCTGACAACAAGTGTACTCTTGCCCATGTAATGCAGGAGGTGTGTTGTGTGTGTTTGGCTTAACTCTCTGTGTTTCCTTCTGCAGGTTTGAGTGCAGCAAAGCTGTTGAAAGCCAATGGACTGACTCCTGTTGTTCTGGAGGCCAGAGATCGGGTCGGGGGACGAACGTTCACTGTGCGGGTAAGAGATGGAGAGCGAACACAGATGCTGGTAATAAACGGGACTATAGGGAAGTAGTTCTTTTGAATATTTGTTTAACCAGGGATGTCGCTGAGATTAGGGTTAGGGTTGGTTACAGACAATAGACTACAATACACAACAACAACTCTAAATCGTGCCCAGTATATGTGTCTAATATCTAGTCAGAATATGTCTCTCCACCTGATATAAGACACACTAACTTCAGAAGTAACACTGCAGTGAGATATCTGGTCTTGTTTTTAGACAATGCATCATCTTGTTAAGTCAGAACATCTTATTTTGAGTTGTATCTCAGATGAAACACATCGTTTTTTTACATATTTATTAGAAAATCACCAACTAACATCAGAAAACACAAAGCTTTTGAGCATTTGCGGATTATTTTATAACACAACATCTCCTGATTCTGGTCAAATATAGTTCAGAATGAGTTCTCCAGATAATTACAAGATGTGATTTATCTAAATATCCCTTCTTATTTCAAGAAATCTTACCAAGCACATTCTCACTTGTTCTATTGGCAGTACTTATTTCAAGTGAAAACAGCTTGTTTTCATTATTGTTTAACGTGTTTTTGGAGCAGCATTTTTTCCAGTGTACTATTCAGCATTATCTGTTACTTGAGCGGACTTTCTGATTCACCTGGTTACGTTGTTGTTATAGAAACATATTATACTCACTTACTTACTTTTTAGAATAACACTGTGATTCTTGCTGGCTAATGTTTATCTATATTTACTACTTTCACTTCTTTGCTAAGCTTGGGAAAAGTCTTATTAAGAACATGTGTTGCAGTGTTGTTAGTTAAACTCTCTGTGCACCAACAGTACTTCACCTTCTGTGAACTGAGAACATCCTGATACTTTCTCCTTAAACTTTATTATCGCCAAGCTTCACCCCACCTTTCTCCTCTCTCTGTGTTTAAATATGAAACCCAAACTCTACTCTTTCACTCAGCAGACTGTATGCTCTCTGTACGATTGACTGAACTTCTTGCAAGAAATAAAATACGACAAAGACAATCAAATGATTCATTCTTTATTCACGTTTGATAAATACATTCCGACCACAGTTGTGATGTGTTTTTCTTTATTTTTGTTTTCCAGAATAAGGAGACAAAATGGGTCGATCTGGGCGGGGCTTACATCGGACCGACTCAGAACCGCATCCTTCGATTGGCCAAAGAGTACGGCATCCAGACCTACAAAGTCAACGAGCAGGAGAGCCTGGTGCATTATGTCAACGTGAGTCTCCAAGCTATCTATACGATACGATACGATAATCAGAGATGGCAGAAGTACACACATCCTTTACTCAAGTAGAAGTACAGATACTCGTGTTTAAAAATACTCTGGTAAAAGTAGAAGTACTGACTAAACTTCTTTACTCAAGTCAAAGTAAAAAAGTATGGGCTTTGAAATGTACTTCAGTAAAAAGTACCCATAACTAGCAGCTGTTTTAAAGAGTACCTGACCTCCCTTTATATTAATAGAACAATAATGTCATTGTTAGCTAATGAATGTTTCCATGCTGAACAACGGCAACATGACAACGTTTTCATTGGTCCCTCTTCTTTAGAGAAGACCAGGAAATGATGGATACACGGATCGTGTTCAAATCAATAGGCACGCAATGACTCTAAATAATAATGATCACGCCACCAAACACACATTCAAACTAAAGTAACCAGCCTGTTTGGGAAATGTGAGAAGTAGAAAGTACAGGTATTTGTGTTCAACATGTAAGAAGTAGAAAGTACAGGTATTTGTGTTCAACATGTAAGAAGTAGAAAGTACAGGTATTTGTGTTCAACATGTAAGAAGTAGAAAGTACAGGTATTTGTGTTCAACATGTAAGAAGTAGAAAGTACAGGTATTTGAGTTCAACATGTAAGAAGTAGAAAGTACAGGTATTTGTGTTCAACATGTAAGAAGTAGAAAGTACAGGTATTTGTGTTCAACATGTAAGAAGTAGAAAGTACAGGTATTTGAGTTCAACATGTAAGAAGTAGAAAGTACAGGTATTTGTGTTCAACATGTAAGAAGTAGAAAGTACAGGTATTTGTGTTCAACATGTAAGAAGTAGAAAGTACAGGTATTTGGGTTCAACATGTAAGAAGTAGAAAGTACAGGTATTTGAGTTCAACATGTAAGAAGTAGAAAGTACAGGTATTTGTGTTCAACATGTAAGAAGTAGAAAGTACAGGTATTTGTGTTCAAAATGTAAGAAGTAGAAAGTACAGGTATTTGTGTTCAAAATGTAAAAAGTCAAAGTAAAAAGTCGTCAGAAAAATACGTAGTGGAGTAAAGTACTGATACCAGAAACATGTACTTAAGTACAGTAACGAAGTATTTGTACTCCACTACTTCCCACCTTTGACGATATTACTTTAATGGTCAGATCAAGTCTGAAATGCTCCTTGTGAAGTGATCCTGAGTTTGAGCCGTCACATAATAAAGATGTATGTCTGTGTGCTAACGCCATGGCAGCTAAAACTTGACTGTACATTCTCAAATAAAAGCCACAACTCATATAACTCAGGCTACATTAAAGCCACTCCAAATAAAAGCCTGAGAACATAATCTTCCGTCTCAAATCCACAACAAGTGCAAGATATATGACCGTTTGCAATGTTTTACTGGCAACCTAACAGTTACAACACAACTTAAAGTCCCAAAAATAATCATGTACTAAACTCTGTAACATCACAATATGTACATTTCCCTTTTGTATACACCTTAAAAACATTACACATAACATAGTGATTATTAGAGATGATGGTAGGTGTAGGTTTTTACTTCTAGACAAAGCTAAGCTCGTTGTTTCCTCCTTTTACAGTAAGCTAAGCTAAGCTAAACTAAGCTAAACTAAGCTAAGCTAAGCTAAAAAGCTTCTTCGAATGTATTATGCATACATGAGAGAAGTATTTATCATCTTATTTGAAACATTTCTTCTCATTTTGATCCAGCAATGTTTGATCTTTACACATATATTTGTTGAGATCAAATGTTCATTAATAGTACATCTCCAAAGGTCTTTAGCTCATATGGATTTTAGCATGGATTACCAAGGCTGCTTAGGACACACAGAAATATATAACACTCAACAAGTTACCGGTTTAATAGACACACCTTTACTCAACAATCCCAGGGAGGATGTATTGCAGGATATGGTTTAATAACACATTATTAACTGTGTGTCTGTTCCCAACAAGTGATAATACTCCCTACAACAACCCTTAAACTCCACCTCCAATTAGGCCGTAAAATCAATCTAATTAGCTCCAACAGAGTGATAGTAATTTGAAGTGGCAGTTTAATTGCAGCAGCTTGAAGGCGTGTTTCATGGCTGTGTTTAAACCCTCTGAACTACAGCTTCTTGATAGTGTGTCAGAGTATTGTTCAGCAGGAAAGCCCTCACTTTGTTTCCTCCCTGAGAGTCCTCACAGACTTCCCTCTGCTCTGTAGCATTAGCGGCTACAGATGCTAATCTCAGCCTGGGGGATTTCTGTAATGCAGTTTCTCTTTGCTCCTGAGTGGTTGAATGGAGAGCAAAAAGCAAACAAAGACAGAGGGAAGAAAGAGGCGCTGAGGCCATGTTTGTGTTTGTTACTCTGCGCTCTATATCTCATTAGTGTGTCCTGTCCTTAACACAGTCGTTCCCTCCACCTGATTTGATTTCCCATGTACCCTGATGCAACTACTCTTACTGTAAATCAATGCACTGCCCCCGGTGTGTGTGTGTGTGTGTGTGTGTGTGTGTGTGTGTGTGTGTGTGTGTGTGTGTGTGTGTGTGTGTGTGTGTGTGTGTGTGTGTGTGTGTGTGTGTGTGTGTGTGTGTGTGTGTGGGTGGGTGGGTGGGTGGGTGGGTGGGTGTGTGTGAGAGAGAGTGAGTGTGTGAGAGAGAGACAGAGCTTATCTCAACATGGACTGTGTTCAAGTCGTTGAATCATAAAAAGTAGAGACACTACATACTGATATACACCAGAATATCAGCAGGAGAGGACTCTTTAAAGTAGAGACACTACATACTGATATACACCTGAACATCAGCAGGAGAGGACTCTTTAAAGTAGAGACACTACATACTGATATACACCTGAACATCAGCAGGAGAGGACTCTTTAAAGTAGAGACACTACATACTGATATACACCTGAACATCAGCAGGAGAGGACTCTTTAAAGTAGAGACACTACATACTGATATACACCTGAACATCAGCAGGAGAGGACTCTTTAAAGTAGAGACACTACATACTGATATACACCAGAATATCAGCAGGAGAGGACTCTTTAAAGTAGAGACACTACATACTGATATACACCAGAATATCAGCAGGAGAGAACTCTTTAAAGTAGAGACACTACATACTGATATACACCTGAACATCAGCAGGAGAGGACTCTTTAAAGTAGAGACTCTACATACTGATATACACCTGAACATCAGCAGGAGAGGACTCTTTAAAGTAGAGACACTACATACTGATATACACCTGAACATCAGCAGGAGAGGACTCTTTAAAGTAGAGACACTACATACTGATATACACCTGAACATCAGCAGGAGAGGACTCTTTAAAGTAGAGACACTACATACTGATATACACCTGAACATCAGCAGGAGAGGACTCTTTAAAGTAGAGACACTACATACTGATATACACCTGAACATCAGCAGGAGAGGACTCTTTAAAGTAGAGACACTACATACTGATATACACCTGAACATCAGCAGGAGAGGACTCTTTAAAGTAGAGACACTACATACTGATATACACCAGAATATCAGCAGGAGAGGACTCTTTAAAGTAGAGACACTACATACTGATATACACCAGAATATCAGCAGGAGAGGACTCTTTAAAGTAGAGACACTACATACTGATATACACCAGAATATCAGCAGGAGAGGACTCTTTAAAGTAGATATCTGTTATGTGTGCTCAGCACTGATGAACTATTGACTCGACCTACATCACAGTGTGTGAAATGTCACCAGCTCGATGGAGAATTGTTGGTTTATTAAAAGGATTTGATTGGACAGCGCTGGTGATGTGAAGCTTTTATGTGAATGCGTCCATATGGCAGCTCCTATGTGACTGAGTTTCCTTATCTACTATCAGTGTAAGATCCACACACACACACCTCACACACACACACACACTCACGCTCGCCACGCTTAGCTTCCTGCCGCGTCTCCATGGCAGCACGCTTCATCAAAAGCTGCTCACCTCTATCAGAGTCAGACGGTGTGTTTGTCTATCTCTGTGTGTGTGTGTGTGTGTGTGTGTGTGTGTGTGTGTGTGTGTGTGTGTGTGTGTGTGTGTGTGTGTGTGTGTGTGTGTGTGTGTGTGTGTGTGTGTGTGTGTGTGTGTGTGTGTGTGTGTGTGTGTGTGTGTGTGTGTGTGGTGTGTGTGTGTGTGTGTGTGATGATTATAAAGAGCCCTACCTTCAGAATAACATGGAATAACGTCTGGTAAACGACCATATGAGAATTTAATCAGCATATCATCCTGGTCATGATAATTGCAATTCACGATTTCATACCGACTATCGTGAAAATACACTAAAACCCTTTATATATACAGTCTATGCTTAAACATCTTAACATAGCCCTTATGGAATCACTTTGCCCTCCAATAAGCTAAGATAAGGCTAAAAGAAAGAGCAACGTAGTTTAATTGTACTCTTTCCTCCATTATAATTACTGTATTATTATTATTATTGTATTATAGACATATTTTTCATGAAACTCGGGATATTCAAGATTGTGCTGATAAGGGCAATTCACCAAAATCAGCCATAAAATATATGATATATTCCGATCGACCGTACTTGAAAGAATGCAAAAGTTTAAAAAAAGCGAGTGACCTTGAGTGTACTGACTTTACTGAGTCTTCATTAGACATATAATCAACATAACAGAGAACAAGACTGTCATCTATATCATACATACTTTAACACATGCAACATAACCTTATCTCTGAATAGTTGACAAATGATTTTAACAAACGCCAAAATAATACATGTAAAAGCCAAAAGTAACAGCGCTATATATATATATTATTATACTTATTCAAGTGGTTATCATCAGCTCCTATCATGACTCTTGATTCCTCCATGTTTCCTCTCGTCAGCATTACTTTAATATGAGTAAAAAGCCAACAGTTACCTGTACGACACGTGTTTTGTAATCGATCATGTAAGTACCATCACGCTGTCTTCAGATTGTAAGTAGTGAACAGGTGTGTTTGTAATGATGACTTGAAGATGTCCAGGGAGGCAGCATTACGGATCTCGGCAGGAAGGGCATTCCAGAGGGTGGGGGCCGCAACACTGAACGCCCTGTCACCAACAGTTCGGAGGCGAGAGCGGGGGATGGAGAGCAGGCCCGTGTCTGAGGACCGCAGACTCCGAGAAGGGGTGTAGGGATGGAAGGAAGTCCGATAAGTACTGGGGGGCGAGGGTATGGAGGGACTTGTACGTGAGAAGGAGTGTTTTATAGTGAATCCGGGACTTGACCGGCAGCCAGTGGAGGTGGATGAGGGTGGGGGTGATGTGTTGCCAGGGCTTGGTGCTGGTGAGAAGCCTGGCGGCAGAGTTCTGGACGTATTGGAGCCTGTCCAGGGTTTTGCTGGGAACCCCGGACAGGACTCCATTGCAGTAGTCCAGACGGGATGTGATGAAGGCGTGTACAAGTGAAGGCCGGAGTCTGGCAATGTTTTTGAGATGGTAGAAGGCGGATTTGGTAACAGATTTGATGTGCGCCTGGAAAGAGAGGGTGGTGTCCAGGACATTGTGTAATTAGCGTTAGCTTCTGCGTAGCTGATCGGCTTTTCTCTGAGCGATTGTAATCCAAGAGAGCAGCTTCCCTTATCATCAGACTCACTGTGGATTTATTAATGAGCTGTCCCTATCACAGACTTTTATTAAACCCTGCCGCTGGTTATCAGAGATGAACAAACAGCGTGCAGCCGTCTGCATGTTTGCACGCTTTAATAGCACCTGAGAAATGGCACTGCTGTTTATGATACCTTATGATAAAGAGAGCATGTCGTGTAAGTCTTATCTGTTTGCATGTGGACCGTCAGCTGAATAAAACTAAGATTACATTTATCAGGAACCTCATTTCATTCGTTTGAAGCAGATGGACTTTAGTACACTTCATTTTGTTGGTTTGTTTCAAACTCACAATATAAAGCATCTCGTAAACGATTTGTAAAAGATATTAATTGAGATTATTTTAACGTCACGATATAAGAGGACATAGAAATATTGATTAAAGCTTAAATTACATTGAGGCCAACAGAAAGTGTTTTACTCACATGTTTTTGCGTACATTTTTATATGGAATGAAAGTAAAGATATGGTTTATTATTAAGCATTACTCAAGTCAATCCATCCACTTTCCTCCTCCTTCTTCTTCTTCTTCTTCTTCTGTGTTCTCTTGTCCTACATCTCCAGACCTGTTGTTCCACGGCAACAGTGAGAAAATCAATCCCACACACACACACACCATGTATACATCACTTCAGGGGACATTACATTGACTTACATGCATTTCCTGGAGACCTATCCTAACCTTAACCATAACCAACACATGCCTAACCCTAACCCTTACCCTTAACCTAAACCTTACCCTAACCCTTACCCTAACCCTTACCCTTAACCTAACCCTTACCCTTACCCTTACCCTTAACCTAACCCTTACCCTTACCCTAACCCTTACCCTTACCCTTACCCTTACCCTAACCCTTAACCTAACCCTAACCCTAACCCTTACCCTAACCCTTACCCTTACCCTTAACCTAACCCTAACCCTTACCCTTACCCTTACCCTAACCCTTACCCTAACCCTTAACCTAACCCTAACCCTTACCCTAACCCTTACCCTTAACCTAACCCTAACCCTTACCCTTACCCTTACCCTTACCCTTACCCTAACCCTTACCCTTACCCTTACCCTTAACCTAACCCTTACCCTTACCCTTAACCTAACTAAGTCTTCACCCTAAAATTAATGATCCACCTCCATTTTGTCCCCGTAAGGGAGGCGAGTCCCCACACGTGACTATGTAAACAGATTTAGGTCCCCACAAGTATAGTAATGCTAGGCCACATACCCCCCCCACACACACACACACACACACACACACACACACACACACACACACACACACACACACACACACACTGACAAATATCATTCCTCCTCACACAGATTCGTTGCTTTCTAGGAATCGTCTTCCAAGAAAGCAACAAATATCCTGTATATATTCGGTCGGCTCACTGTCCTTCTTTGACCCCTGTCGAAACCTCTCTCTTTTCTTTTTTCCAGCTGCATTTATAAATCAATCGTGTGGTTGAGAAATAGTCCTGCAGTGTAGACACACACACACACACACACACACACACACACACACACACACACACACACACACACACACACACACACACACACACACACACACACACACACACACACCACACACACACACACACACACACACACACACACAGCGGTTCGACTGAGGACGCTCTTATCAGACTTGATGACTCTCAATCTTTGGATCAGTTGTAAAATGTTGCACGATCAGCAATAATGGAGCTTTTACTGTGCGCTCTACTTTACTCTGTTCCCAGTCATGCTGACTCAGCACACTGGAGGTCAAGTACAGGTCAAACACTCCTCCTCCTTAGGTCAAATACCAACATGTCCACTTTTAACTACTCATTTTAAGAGCTGCTCTTAAGCATAATTCATCATTTTGAGGATTTCTTTAAAAGGCCAAAATCAGTTTCTGTCTGCAACAGTTTGGCTTTGAGAGTTTAAGATGTGAGATAACATGAATTTTAAAGCATTGTGTGATATGCAATAAAACATGTTCTTTAACTACATTTTACAATATTCTGCTGGTCGTTCAACCACATGGATATTTGCATAGTGATGAAGTAGTTCAATTTTTGGGGCATTTGTGCAGTAAAAGGACAGATATGGTTTAGCATTTAGCTCATAGCATTTAGCTCATAGCATTTAGCTCATAGCATTTAGCGTTGCATCTCAAATGTAAATGAACTCCTTTTTGACCAGCTTATTTTCAAATAAAGTTGCTTAAAGGGGACCTATCATGCAAAATGCACTTTTGTACGTCTTTTCTACATGAATACGTGTCCCCGGTGTTCCAGGGAACTCACCAAGTGTCAGAAAACACAACCCTCTCTATTTTCCTCCATACCCAAATCTCTAAAAAAGGGGCTGCAACGGATCTGATAAAAACTGATCCAGATTTGAACACTGTCCTGACGTCAGGACGGTGGCGCTACGGCTATTGGGCCAACTCCACCAATCAGGAGGAGACAGCCACGGCCATTGCCGTTCGAAAGCGCTGGAGACGCTGTAGTACATATGCCAGGCCTGTAGATGGTGCTGTTCTCACAGAATCAGCCCTTGCTAAAACAGAGCTAAACATTTTTTAAACTGAGCTAAATGAGGCATGGCTAAAATGCATGATCTGTTTGGTATTTTGAAAAAAAAAAAGTATAAATATGCCTTATATAGGTATGGTCCTACACTATATTATTCAAATATAGCATGATAGGTCCACTTTAAGGTAACTTTGTTTTTGTTGCTGTAATATAACTAAGACTAAGACTAAGATTGTATTTCATATTATGATGATTACTTGTGTCCAACAGGGAAAGTCTCACCCGTTCAAAGGCTCTTTTCCTCCCATGTGGAACCCCTTCGTCCTGCTGGACTTCAACAACCTGTGGAGGACGATGGACGAGATGGGAAAGGAGGTAAAACCAGAACTACTCACCCCCTTTCTTTTGCTTTTATCCTCAAATGAAGCCCTCTAATCTCTGCTAAATGTCCTGCTGTGTCTCAGATCCCCAGAGAGGCCCCCTGGAGGGCCCCCCATGCCGAGGAGTGGGACAAGATGACCATGCTGCAGCTGTTTGAGAAGATCTGCTGGACCAGGTAAGAGAGGAGAGAACAGAGATATTACATTATATTTGTAATATCTCTCAATTAAGCAATTGTGTTTACTTAAAGCTCCCATGTCATGCTTTTCTGGTTATTACCCGTCCCCTTGTGTGTTATGAAGGTTTTTCTGTAAACGGTCTGCAGAGTCACAAACCCTCAAAGTACACCCTGTAGCGAGTAAAACTCTAACACAGGAAAGACCTGTCTATGCTGCCCCAGTGTGTGTGTGTTCGGGCTGGGTTTCGCTGTGTCTCGCTGTCTCGCAGGCGGCCACTGGGCTCATAGGGAGGGGGGAGTTTATGTAAGTTTATGTAATAACTGGGAAATATTAAGTTTACTTTTCAAACACAGAGATATATAAAAGCATCGTGAATCAGTCTTTTTTGTTCATAAAGTGTATTAAAAAAGAGTAACGCAATACAGGAAAGAGAAAACCCCCAAAACTGCATGATAGGGACTCTTAAAAAAGGTGTTGATTATTTGAGACTAATGCACAGGATTTAGTTTTATAATCTCATGGTCAAATGCACTTATTGTAAATCACTTTGGGTTAAAAGCGTCAGTAAATTGTAAAGCAACTATAGCAGATTTTGTGAATGCAAACCGAAGACAGATTTCTATGGGCTCAGAACAGTCTCATAATACACACATGCACACAGAAGGAGTCACACTTGTAGTTCGGGATCCATTTTACATAATGTATTTTTGATCCACACATATTTGTTTTCCGTTTAAAACCTCTGAACCTGCAAACACAACCCGCGTTCTGTGCATGGATCGCTGTGCATTCGTGTGTGGGGTTTTTGAGACTCTCCTGACGGTGACCCGATTCGGAGTCGGACTTGTAATTTGTTCTATCTATAGCCAATCAGATGTCTCCTTCATTCTAAGCCAATCACATGAGCGCGCCCCCACGAGGGTATGATTTCTTGTGTTCATGACACTTCATATACGCATGTTGCGCTGTCCGGAGCTGACAGGTCCATGGAGCCTGCAGGCGCTAATCTCAGGACCGAAGGACATTTCTACAAACATATATGCTATTGTTTTAAATTAAATTCTGAATGTTCTGCTTTATTTTCAGTAAAGTCCTCCACTTCGCCAAGCTGTTTCTGAACGTGAACGTGACCTCTGAACCCCACGAGGTCTCAGCTCTGTGGTTCCTCTGGTACGTGAAGCAGTGCGGAGGGACCATGAGGATCTTCTCCACCACCAACGGAGGACAGGTGTGTGTGTGTGTGTGTGTGTGTGTGTGTGTGTGTGTGTGTGTGTGTGTGTGTGTGTGTGTGTGTGTGTGTGTGTGTGTGTGTGTGTGTGTGTGTGTGTGTGTGTGTGTGTGTGTGTGTGTGTGTGTGTGTGTGTGTGTGTGTGTGTGTGTGTGTGTGTGTGTGTGTGTGTGTGTGTAGTTTTTGAGATGCTTCCCTCAGTTCACCTCAGTTTGCTGGCTTCATTATGAGCCGGACAAAAGCTGTTTTTCTTGCAGAGCTTTTTGTGTGAAGGGGGGGGGGGGGACATTCTGCTGTGATACTTTCTAAAGCTGAGTGCCTGTGTTGCCTAGACACTGAGGAAGAGGACTGGGAAACAGAGGATGATGAAGACAGATCTGTGGTCATTCCCATTTAACCTCTTCCTCTCCCCCTCCCAATGACTGTCTTTCTTTACTGGGAACAAAGGATATTTAAAGGGGATAGCAGTGGAAGTGGTGTAGCTGGTCTGAAAGCTGGGAACATGAGGGTTCATTTGATATGCAGCTCAGAAATGTGTGTCACGGTTTTATTTTCTTAAATGTATGATGAACATGGTGTTTTTATTCAGCGCCTGCTCGTTAGAGAGTGTAAAAGGGCTTATAACATTACGATAGAAGTATGATTAACAACACGGAGCTATTTTTATGTTAAGATAGATAGATAGATGGATAGATAGATAGATAGATAGATAGATAGATGGATGGATGGATGGATGGATGGATGGATGGATGGATGGATGGATGGATGGATGGATGGATGGATGGATTGGATGGATGGATGGATGGATGGATGGATGGATGGATGGATGGATGGATGGATGGATGGCTGGATGGATGGATGGATGGATGGATGGATGGATGGATGGATGGATGGATGGATGGATAGATAGATAGATAGATAGATAGATAGATAGATAGATAGATAGATAGATAGATAGATAGATAGCTAGATAGATAGATAGATAGATAGATAGATAGATAGATAGATAGATAGATAGATAGATAGATAGATAGATAGATAGATAGATAGATAGATGGATAGATAGTACATTCAGTATTTTCCCAACAATTGGTATTAAAAAAATAAAAAAGACACTTTCTTGCACATATAAAAGGCTCTTTGCAATGCTTAATGGCTGCCCCCCATGTATTTATGACCCCTTGACCTCTTGACCTCTTGACCGCTTAACCCCCAGGAGAGGAAGTTTGTGGGTGGCTCGAGTCAGATCAGCGAGTTCATGGCAGACGAGCTGGGAGACCTGGTGAAACTTGAGTCTCCGGTCTACCGCATCGACCAGAGCGGAGACATGGTGGAGGTTCAGACGCTGGACAAACAGATATACACGGTGAGCAACACACACACACACACACACACACACACACACACACACACACACACACACACACACACACACACACACACACACACACACACACAGATACACACACGCACACACACACATTTTGTGCTATTTTCTACTTCTACTCCACTGTATCTCAGAATTAAATATTGTACTTTTTGACACACTTCATTATTATTGATTATTTCTCTATTATACTGGGAAAGTTATACTGGAAACAAGATCTCATTTTAAAATGGGACTTGAGTGTTTGTTGTTTTTATTTTGTCCTATTAATACTATTATAAGGTGTAATTTATTTGTCAAAAAAAAAGAAAAATATGACAATAATTTCCTAAATAACAGTGAGACCTGCGTACAGAAAAGTAATGGTAATTCCATTTTAAAAATAAATAAGAATAACATGGGAAAATAGATAAGTAGAAGGTGATAGAAAGGTGTTTTGTAGTGATTTTGTAGTCTAAAAACTGTCTGAAAAATAATCGGTGCTGCCCCCTGCTGGCCGCCTGCAGCCATGAGATGCAGCTCTCTCTGTTTTATCCTATTTGTGTTTCTCTTTTTCTATAAAGTGTGATCTCTCAGGCCAAGTACGTGATCGGTACAACGTTTATGCTGAGAGGAATTTTGACCCATAGATAAATAAATGTATTTGTAGACGCTTGTCTTCGAGACAGGAAGAGATTTGACACTAAAACTCAACCACATTCTGAGTCACAGTTAGTTGTGTGCTGCCCTCTGCTGGCAGCCTCCAACCATGTGATCCAATGTGTGTTTGCATCCCCTATATTTATTTTAAAATGTGTGATTTCTTTCTCTCTCAGGCCAAGTATGTGATCGTGGCCACGCCCCCCGGTCTGAACATGAAGATGCACTTCAGCCCCGAGCTGCCCCCCCTCAGGAACCAGCTGATCAGCCGCGTGCCCATGGGCTCTGTCATCAAGTGCATGGTGTACTACAGGGAGAACTTCTGGAGGAAAAAGGGTACGTGAGGGTTAGAAAGATCTCACTGGTCCCCGGCTTGATCTTCAATCTCAGGATCCATGTATCTCTGATCCTCTCCAGAATGGAAGTAGTCAAAATCAAAAAAATCTGACTTTTTCTAAAAAATCTAAAAAATCTGACTTTTTCTAAAAAATCTGAAAAATCTGACTTTTTCTCAAAAATCTGACTTTTTCTAAAAAATCTGACTTTTTCTAAAAAATCTGACTTTTTCTAAAAAATCTGACTTTTTCTAAAAAATCTGACTTTTTCACACAAATCTAAAAAATGCTGACTTTTCTCAAAAAATCTGACTTTTTCTCAGAAATCTAAAAAAATCTGACTTTTTAGCAAAAATCTAAAAAAAAATTGACTTTTTCGCAAAAATAAAAAAAAAATTACTTTTTCTCTAAATTCTGACTTTTTTGCAAAATCTCAAAATTCTGACTTTTTCTCAAAAATCTCAAAATTCTGACTTTTTCTGAATACTTAAAAATGTTAATAATCACTGGTCCCCGGCTTGAGCTTCAATCTCAGGATCCATGTATCTCTGATCCTCTCCAGAATGGAAGTAGTCATCACATACAGAGCATCAACTAGTTCCTGAACAGTGTCCTTCACATGCTGATATCCAAGAGAGGGAGATACACAGTCACAAGATGGAGGAATAGAAAGCAGTATTCAATGTTTACTTCAGATTAGCTCCACGTCAGAACACCTGAATTTCTCCACAGGGGATAAATAAAGTTCCATCTTATCTTATCTTATATTTGGTTATTTAAAACTGAGCATGCTGTAGCTTCTCAAAGACAATACTGTGTGCTAAGGACTCTTTCATTCTCACGGAGATTAAGAGGTACATTTTAAGTGATATTCTGTTTAAATAGAGAGTTGTGTTTGTCGTTTAACATTTGGTGTTCTTCAGTTTTAGCTGCTGAGCACATGATGATAAAGACTTGAATCTTGAAACTTTCCATTGAAGCTAAAAAGAAATAACTTAAAGCGACACAAACACAGACTGTAATATTGTTTCAGGAGAGAGGGAAGGATGCAGTATTTTATATTGACTCTCCTTGTTTTCCACCAGGTTACTGTGGCAGCATGGTGATCGAGGAGGAAGACGCTCCCATCAGTCTGACGCTGGATGACACGAAGCCTGATGGGAGTGTACCCGCCATCATGGGGTGATTATATTATATTTAATACAATTATCATTATGACACCTTAGCATGACACCAGGAAGCTTAGACATGTAGTTCTGTGGACGTGATGCAGAAGCAAATAGACCCGTTAAACAGTCATATTAGTTAGCATGTGTTAGCTGTCAGAAATAGCCGTCTGACAGCAATGAATAGCAGTGATAATATTATTAAAAGTGCAGATATTTAGATATAGATAGATAGAATCAATGTCATCAATATAGGTTATGACAAGATATATTTTGAAATGCTGCTGTAAAACCCCAAAATGAGAAAACCACAACATTTGAAGAACACTATTGTCTAAAAACTGTTTGTGGTATAGAATAAAGATTTACTGAGAGCCATTTAGGCAGATTATTTATGAGTGTGAGCCGATTGCATATTATTTTAAGTTAACTCTAATGAACTGAATAACTATGGATTATAATTATACCGTTTTTGTAATGTTTTGTTATCTTTATGACATTATAGACTGCTCTAGTTTTATGTGTTGTTATTATTTATCTATAGAAATCAGAATTCTAGAAGAAGTCTATAGGTGAAGTTTTTGACCGCACGCATCCGTACGCCTGTTGGTTTTTTATTTTTATTTTTATTTAAATGCCGAGCAAATGTTGCAAGCCAGCAGCTGATCAACTGAACTTTCTAATAAAGCACTTGAATGGATCGATGTAAGGTATTTGGATTTCTTCAAGTTTACGCGAGTCAATACTCAAATTTGCCTCGTAGACTAAAGTGACCTTTGAACATTCAACACAGTCTCACAGCATTTCGTGTTATAGTCACGAAATTAATCTATTGATTCGTGTTCACCAACACGATTTCGCCATTTTTTCGTGTCACACAGAACGATTTTAAAAGCAATGTAAATAATAACAAATTAGAAGGAAAAACAGATAAAAAAAAATACAGATTTCAGTATTCTGACACAGAACGATTTTAGAAGCAATGTATTTATATTGGTAGTATGTTTTCGTGCCTGCACCAAATAATAACAAATTAGAAGGAAAAAGAGATGACATAAAATACAGATGTCAGTATTCTGAGGCTCTGAGACATTTCTTTTCCTCACTGACGGCAAAAAAACTCAGACATTATACAATTTAAAATAAAAGGGATAGGGTTAGGCTTAGGGTAAGATATTGAGTAAGAACATGTTTTTATGAACCACACAGCTTCCGGTCTTCCAAGACCCGACCGGACAAAAAGACGTGTTGCAGGCACGAAACATACTACCAATAGAAATACATTGCATTTAAAATCGTTCTGTGTGACACGAAAAAAAATGTGAAAATCGTGTTGGTGAACACGAATCAATAGATTACATTAATTTCGTGACTATAACACGAAATGCCGTGAGACTGGGTTGGAACATTCGATTATGCGTAATCGGCCACTACATTTACTTTCAATGAAACACAAAAGAACAGCAGTGTGTCTCTGCAATGTCTTGTTTACTTCTGCAGGAGCTTTCCTTCTAGTGGATACTATTTCTCTGTTTCCTCTCCTGCAGATTCATCCTCGCCCGCAAGTGCAGAAAGCTATCAGGGCTGACCAAAGAGGAGAGGTACGTGCACTCTTAGTTACTCAGCAGGTGACAACTCTCACCAGCTGCAGGAAGTGGTTTCATTTAATAAATACAGTGTAATGTTTTTCATCCAAAACCGTTTTCTGTTTGTGTTTCAGGCTGAAGAAGATCTGTGAGATCTACTCCAGAGTGCTGGGCTCCGAGGAGGCTCTGCATGTGAGTTTAGATACACACTAACACACACACAGTCACACTGATACAGTCAATTAGTAGTTCATTAACACATCAATTAAACCTTTACTCTGTCTGACAGCCGGTGCATTACGAGGAGAAGAACTGGTGTGAAGAGGAATACTCCGGAGGCTGCTACACCGCCTACTTCCCCCCGGGAATCCTTACACAGTATGGAAAGTAAGTCACACACACACACACACACACACACACACACACACACACACACACACACACACACACGCACACACACACACACACACACACACACACACACACACACACACACACACACACACACACACACACACACACACACACACACACACACACACACACACACACACACACACACACACACACACACACACACACACATCACTTTTCATTCATCTTAAATGAATTTGACAAAATTAAACCCATAGCAACCAAAGATAAACAAATTAAATAAAGATCAATTTACACAACAGAAAGCAGTAATAAAATGTCTGTGCGGCTGGTTTTATTTGCAGTAGTTGTGGAGTCTCTGAAACCTTCAGGCATTAAATATGAAGTTTGAATCCACTTGACATGCTTTCCAGCGGTCTCTTTTGAACCCCTGGTGTCTCTCTTCCTGTCTGCAGGGTGCTGAGGGAGCCGGTGGGCAGGCTGTATTTCGCAGGAACAGAAACAGCTACAGAGTGGAGTGGATACATGGAGGGGGCGGTGCAGGCGGGAGAGAGAGCCGCAAGAGAGGTCAGAGGTCACCGCAACACACACACACACACACACACACACACACACACACACACACACACACACACACACACACTATTTACAATACACTTCAAAATAGAGATGTCAGAATTACAGCGCCACTTACAGTCCCGGCATATGTACTACAGCGTTTCCAGCGGTCTCGTTTGAACAGACACGTTAAATGAAACGAACGACAGATAGAGAACTATTTAAAGAAAACTATAATAACATAACAAAATATTAAAAAATTATGCAAAATATTAAAAAAATATAGCAGTATTTACATAGAATGGAATAAAATGGAATTAAATATGGAATACAATTCGGGAGTAATACAAAAGAAGAAAAACCGATGTACATTGTGTGCATGAATGTAATGCATGGAGTCTATGATGTGGCTGAGGTCAAGTGGAACGTTCCAGGAATGTTAGCTTTTTTACTTCAAAACAGAGGTTATTTTCTGCAATATCCCAAAATGTCCCAATATAACATTTGACCTAATGCATGTGAAATAAGTTCGTATTGGAACATCTTTTCTGGCGGACTGAATAGTATGGAAGTATGGGAAGTGAAACACAGGATCTTAGAGCACAAAAGGTAGAGTTCACACAGCATTTGCACCATTTTCAACATGTTGGCTGTTTAGTTCTTCAGGTAAAGGTGTAAGAAAGTAATGCTTAGCAGGTTCAATTCAATGTTCAATCTAAAGGCTCTGGTTCTCAGGTTCCTTAAAGCGATCGGAAACAGACTCTCAGATTCAGTTTCACTTGTCTTGTGGGTGAGAGGACTCTTTAAAGTAGAGACACTACATAATGATATACACCTGAACATCAGCAGGAGAGGACTCTTTAAAGTAGAGACACTACATACTGATATACACCTGAACATCAGAAGGAGAGGACTCTTTAAAGTAGAGACACTACATACTGATATACACCTGAACATCAGGAGGAGAGGACTCTTTAAAGTAGAGACACTACATACTGATATACACCTGAACATCAGGAGGAGAGGACTCTTTAAAGTAGAGACACTACATACTGATATACACCTGAACATCAGAAGGAGAGGACTCTTTAAAGTAGAGACACTACATACTGATATACACCTGAACATCAGCAGGAGAGGACTCTTTAAAGTAGAGACACTACAGACTGATATACACCTGAACATCAGAAGGAGAGGACTCTTTAAAGTAGAGACACTACATACTGATATACACCTGAACATCAGGCAGGAGAGGACTCTTTAAAGTAGAGACACTACATACTGATATACACCTGAACATCAGCAGGAGAGGACTCTTTAAAGTAGAGACACTACATACTGATATACACCTGAACATCAGCAGGAGAGGACTCTTTAAAGTAGAGACACTACATACTGATATACACCTGACATCAGCTGGAGAGGACTCTTTAAAGTAGAGACACTACATACTGATATACACCTGAACATCAGCAGGAGAGGACTCTTTAAAGTAGAGACACTACATACTGATATACACCTGAACATCAGCAGGAGAGGACTCTTTAAAGTAGAGACACTACATACTGATATACACCTGAACATCAGCAGGAGAGGACTCTTTAAAGTAGAGACACTACATACTGATATACACCTGAACATCAGCACAACATGTCCCCTTTAAACACACCCAATCTTCTGTTGCAGGTCCTGTGTGTAATGAAGAAAATCGACAAGAGTCAGATCTGGCAGACGGAGCCTCAGTCTGTGGTGAGGGAAATCTCTATAAAACCTATTTAAATAAAACTCAAATACATGCAACCTTAACATCGTCTCCTCCTTTCCCTTCAACAGGAAGTGCCAGCAATCCCGTTTGTCACCACTTTCTGGGAGAGAAACCTGCCTTCAGTCGGCGGTCTCTTGAAATTTATGGGGGTTTCCGCCTTCCTTTCTGTGGCCACTGTCTCCGGCCTGGTGATCTACAAAAAGGGTCTCATTCCCCGGAGTTAAACCACAACAGACTCTTTACTGCACTACTTTATGTCCCAATCTGCAGAGTAGTGAGCTGTATCGAGTATAGGATGTTGTGAGGAAGACTCACAGTAGAAAAAACACTAACGCACCGTCACTATGTGCACCGTCTGTACGATGAGAAAGAGAGAAAGTGAGACAGAGGAAGTGTTTAAATCCACGTCTGAGATCCAGATGTGAAACCAATGAAGGAAAGAATCATAAAAAGCATACAGAATATATGTAAATCACTATTAACAGTACACACATTGCCAATGACATTCTTACTTACATGTGAGTTTATCGACTCATTATGCTTTCTGTGTGTGTGTGTGTGTGTGTGTGTGTGTGTGTGTGTGTGTGTGTGTGTGTGTGTGTGTGTGTGTGTGTGTGTGTGTGTGTGTGTGTGTGTGTGTGTCTTAATTACCTCTGCTGATTTTAGGTGCTAATTTATTCTGGCCGAGCAGCTGTAGCTGTTTGATGAGATGCCCGCTGCAAAATCACAGAGCAGGTTTTAAGGATAAGGCTGTTGGGATGCTAGCTTGTTGTCAATAAATCCCATGAAAACACTTTGAGTTAATTACGTTACTTAAGGTACGTGAATTAAAATACCTGAAAACCTGAAAACGAGCATAATTGGGCCCCTTTAAGGCCTGCAAGATCCTACACTCATTTGAAACGAATCTCTTTAACATATTACTCACAAAAGCACCAAATTCACGTCTGAAAATAGTCACTGTTTGAGAAACATTCACAAAAAATGAGAGTACATGTTTATAAGGATTTTACTCCACCTTTAAAAAAAGAAACACCAACAAACAAGGGTCTAACAAGGCTTAAAAAAGTCAGAAATGATTGAGAGACACAGTCATGTATTGTCGGTTTTCATGGGATTTGTTGACAATCAAAAAAAAAGCAGAATAAAAAATGCATAAAAAGCCTTATCCTGTTATTAAAATGCGTATTTAGTGGTGATGTCGTGCTACTAAGCTGCTCTGTTATCTTTTAGTAAATGTAATGAAAGCATTCGAATGTATTTTCTTCAGACTAATAACACAAACTCTTTGTCACTGCGTTTTGATTTACAGATATATATGTATTTCTATACAAAAGTAGTGCGGTAGCTAACCAAAAACACTATTAA